GGAAAAAAAAAGGAAACTAGTAATAGGAATTACTATGAGGTACATGGAACATAAGAACCTTGTACAAACCAGGAGCGACTTTGGATTTAGTAAGAGAAGTAGAAAAATATAAGATGAAATGTGTGATCTTACAAGAAATTAGATGGGAAGATACTGGAACAACTAAAGTATCCCAAACAGCCATTTTTAATGGTAAATGTGAACATCCTCACAAATTGGGGACCGGATTTGCTATATACGAGTCAATAATCCACACAGTCCAAGAATTTAGACCATAACAATAACAACCGAAAAATTTTATGTAGTTTTGATTATAGGCCAGTCATCGAAGGAGTAATATTGGGAAATAGCAGAAAAAAATTACCAACCAAATTTTGTTTTATTAATAGTTGAATTAAGATATGTATAATGACATATTAAAAGTCCTCATTGATTGGAACTGAGCTTTTTTTTTACAGCCTCGCAAAAGTTAAAAAATATGAGCTTTTTTAATTTTCTCAATAAATATTTAACTTACAAAAAAAAGTTTCATACAAAAGTTCTTTAAAAGACAATTCTAAACAAAAAATATATTGTATATTTTTTCATTTAAACAAATATTTTTCGAGTTATATTACATTACAATGAGTACTAAAATTTATTTTCAATTTTTTAATTTTACGGTTACTTTTTATCATGTTATACTTACATTAGACACAATGTTATACATGCATATGTGTGTATGTGTGAGTTTATTTATTTATTGTATCATTTAAGTGTAGTGTATATTAATATACAAGCGATAGAGTAGGTAATTGATTTGACGCTATATTATTTAAACCCAACTAAACGCTAAATTGTACATTCCGAAACAACAATCATATTATGTCAATTGCCACCGGAATTTCTGGTAATATTTTTCTTTTTCTTTGCCTTAATCCCAACTACTTGGGGTCGGCCACCCTTATCCTAAGCTTCCACTTGACACGATCTCCCACATCTTCTACGCTCACATCAGCTGTCCTCAAATCGCATTCAATAGCATCCCTCCATCTCTTTTTTGGTCTTCCTCTATCTCTTCTTCCTTCAACATTCATTTCTATAACTGTTCTTACAGCTTTCGATTCTTCTTTCCTCATAACATGACTAAACAATCTAAGTCTATTTTCTGTCATCTTATCCACGATTGACGCAACACCTTTACTTCCTCTTATATGCTCGTTCCTTATCCTATCTTCTCTAGTTATTCCACTCATCCAACTAAGCATTCTCATCTCTGCTACACTTATTCTCTGCTCTACTTTCTTATCAACCGCCCAACACTAT